TTTGCCATACCTGGGGAGCCTACCGGTCTTTATTTTTAATCGTTTCAATTCCGCCTACTACTCCTTTATTTAAATAGAGGTTTTCCGTAGATGTGAATAGAGACAAATTCAATTAAGGCACGCGATTGGTCGAACTGTCATCCGCTGGAAATTTATTACGAAACTGATTTGCATCATCTGCATATACATTGACCTTAAATAGCTTGTTCCAGATCGTAGTTTTGAAAAATGTTTTACCTGAATTAAATCGCCACGATTCCGTTTATATACAGTTAAGCAAATAAGGTCCTCGATAATTCAAAAATTCCGATTCTAGGTTGAAAATCCCCTTGGGACAGATATTATCGTGCCATCACACACAAAAGTTTTTGCCCATTCTATCGAATCATATCGCAATTAGCTAATAACTGGCATACCTCGCCGAGCTTTTTGCCAGTTACATATTGACACGTGCGTTCGTTTCAACTACCGCATTGCATTCGTTGATTTAGGAATATGCAAATCGAATCGGACTGAAATTATATGTTAAGCAGGTAAGGCAAATGGAAATACAATATCGCATCCCGTTGTCACAGCGTTGATTGACAATCGGAGAGCCACAAGAAAAATATTAAAGTGGCACAAATTAACTCAATTAAATTACATGTTCAAACCAGTTATTAAACCTCCACAGTTTCATTGATTAAACGTATGTTTAACTTTCAAAATTGCTACCTTCCTGTTAGCGGAGTAGTAGCTGCGCGCCTACCTAAAGAAATTAATAGAATAACGAATTTACCAGATTTCCATTCCCATTAACATCATATGCTACTTGAATTTAAATTAAGAGACCAACTTTTATGCACCTTCCTTGTTATTAATCAATTTCGTTGTGAAACGTGATATTAAAACAGATGTTTTACAAAATAGGATTTTTTTTTGGGCGGCAAGCTATAATTCGGGCCGTACGGGTAATTTAAATTGTTGGAATTCTCGAGGTGAAGATTGACGCGCTGAATATGACGTGAGGATTAGAGGCCCGCACCCACGCCCTGTTAGATGTCCGAATGTGTTGCGTGCCAATTGGGCCGCAATTAGCTGATTTGGGCTGTCAAAATTAATCCTCGGTATATGGTTTGAGGTGTAGTCGTGATTTTGAGATTTACTTGTTGTTTGACCCACAAAGCTCTGTTGGATGTTTAAATAATACACGTCGTTTCTCAAATCCTGGAGTGCGTCCCCAATCCCCGACAGATATCAAATTGTTTAAGACTAGCAGCTAATTGTTATTAATTATTAAGATGCGATAAATCTACTGTAAGCTCATCTTTCATTAAGAGCGCCCCTTTACAATCTACGATACGGTCTTTTAGAGATACAGGGCCGCATTCAGTCTGACTGGTGGTCTTATGTGCTCGAAAGTAATGCGAACACAAATTGCAACTACTTATCCGCGATCATCGCCGAATTTGTTACTTAACTCACCGGGGGGCCTCACGCCTTGCGCCAACACTGCGCTCTCCTGAATTTCCGAACACTACAATTGGGGTAGTAAGCTTTGTTGGAGATGACATCCTGAAGGGTTAAGATGGAGTTCATGTTCATGTAATATTTGGTATACACTGCCGAGTCCAATGGCGTGCGGTCACTACACCACCCACAAGGCACTTGTCCAGCTACTTGAGAACAAAGCAAAATTATCACTTGGAATTTTATAATATCTCCTTGTAGACATTCGGCATCTACTATAAAGAAAATGAAAGCCAATAAATTATTATTATGGTCGGTGTTTCTTGTTATTATTATTATTATTAAAAAAATCCTAATACTGACTCAAAACTTCGACCGACTTGAATTTATTACACAAATTTTGATTGACACCTGAAATAAATCTTGGACACACATAAAGAATCTGGCATAAAATCTCTACCTGGAGCGTACAAAGGATTCGAATAAACGCACAATTAATTAATTGACTATGACATGAAACAAAACAAAATTCCTGCAAAAAACGCTTACAAAGCTTGTTTGGTCATAATACCCCACACGCAGATGTTCGTTAACTAAAAATGAAAAAAATCTTAATCACAGTTTTTTTTCAATTATCCTAATAATCTGGTCGTAAAAAGTTTACAACATTCAGGCGCACTCATCAAAGCCACAAAAGCAGTCACTGGTTAATTCCAAGAAGCTTCACTCCTTTTTTAATAAACGGGACTCGGTGGCTCAAACTGGCTTGATAAATAAGTAAAAAAGTTTTAACTTTTACTAAGCAAACAACGCTTTGTTTACTTACACGCGAATTAACTTTTCTGAATACAGACAGACCGTTTTCCACAAACTTTTACTACTTCACTTGACGGTAACTTAAACCTTTTATTAAGATTGCTTCACTTCTACGCATTTTATTTCGACACCGACGAACTTCGTCTTGAACAAAACTAGAGCAAACTGACCGAGATTTTGAGTAAACAAATTCACACGCCCTTTTTACCGTCGCGAAATCTAACAGCTAGCAACAGCATCGTTTTTACGTTGACTCCAGTATTCAAGGAATACTACTTTCACTATAGAATAATTTTTCAATTCAATCGCCAATCATAATCAGACCTGATAAAGTTAGTTTCGAAGGAACGCGTCCCCACTTGCACCAAAATATCGCGCACATCTTGGCAAGACATCCGCATCTCTGTTATATCAGCGATAAAAACGCGTACGTTAATTAAATTTTGTCGGATTATAAAACTTCTTATCGCAAATGACCAGATGTCTCTACATTTTAACACGCAATTTCACGCTCTAAACACGATTACTTGAAATGCGTAATTCGACGGTAAGCGTCAATGTCATATAAAAATGTTATTCGCGCACCATCGACCGTTGCAGAGGAGCGACGAATTAGACCATGTCCCTTTAGAATCCCACGTTGGTTTATTTCCGAGCGTTTAATGCTAGTCTCGCTATTATTCGTATTTCCCTGTCTCGCAAATAAGCTGTATTTAAGGTTGTTATCTCTATGGGTTAAAATTTCCACTATTGTTCGTATTCAGCGTGATAGTGTCCAAACCGTAAATTAAAGTCAGCAAAAACTTAAATGCGCGTTTTAAATTTGGCGCAAAAAATATCTCCGAAAATAATATTTACAGACGGTCGACTTAATTTCGCTGGCTCGACACGAATCACCCACATAAAATCCCCCTGCGATAATTTCCCTGTGGGCTGCTTAATTAATTTCGTTCGCGGTTCCACGAAAAATTTTCTGGCACACTACATTGATAGGTGCTTTGACGCCCATACTGTAACTTACACAGTCTCCACAAATAAAACTCATTTTTTCTAGGCCCATCAGATCTCTTGATACACATAACTTACTTCCATGTGGACCAATTTCCTGCAAAAAATTAACGTGAATTAATTTGAATTAACGTGAATTAATTTGAATTACATTCTGTTCTACGACTTTCCAACGCTGCCAGATTTCAAGCGCAATTAAAAATTCAGGATTTTATTTGTTTTATTTATTTTATTTATTTTATTTATTTTATTTATTTTATTTATTTTATTTATTTTATTTATTTTATTTATTTTATTTATTTTATTTATTTTATTTATTTTTTATTTTATTTATTTTATTTATTTTATTTATTTTATTTATTTTATTTATTTTATTTATTTTATTTATTTTATTTATTTTATTTATTTTATTTATTTTATAGTACTCCAAAAACCCCTGTGAATGTTCCCACTTCATCTATTAATCACTAAATATTGAATGTACTTAATAATTATGCGATTAAATCGACATTGAATCCCTTTGAAATGATTACAACCACTCTTAAACGTTACTAATGAAGAGGTACCACATTAACAACGGAAACGAAAAACGGAAAACCTGAGCGTTAGAAATGCTTCACCAAAGGTTCACTAATCGGAGCTCATTAAACTGAATTAGCTAGCGTAGTCGCAATTTACCCGAAAATAATAAATTCTCTTTGCGCAAATAAAACCACAAGGTAATCTACAGATGGTTGACTTAAGTTTGATGTTTTGCCGCAATTTCGAATAACACCCTGCGACAAATTCCCGTTGGCTAAGTTTGCGCGAGTTTTTCTAACACAAATGAAGCATACTATGCGCTAAATTACAGGTGACCAACTTAACTTCACTGACCGCTCAACGTTGATTTTCCCTCGCAGTTGAACGCGAATTCGAACACAAAATATAACATACATCCCATGGTAGGTAATTTACAGGGGGTTTACTTCACTCTCTCACGCTTGAACGGGTATTCTTCTTCGCAGTTCTTTAACGGTTCTCCTCAAACAACACATTTTGCCACCCATTCCGGTACGCAAAACTTTTTTTACCAATAAAACAAATTTACGCTCAGACGGATTGCTTGAAAGCAATAGCTTAATTCCACGTGGAGTATAAAATCCTCATGATTTAGCAAAACGCCCGCTTACGTACAAACTTCTGTAATAACTACTGCAAAATAAACAAAATCTTCCTGTAGTTCGAACCCATGACGCAATAGTTCAGAACTTACCGGCGCCACCAGTTTTCGCACGCACTTAAAAGGTTAGGACCGTACTTAAGGACCACTCGCCTACATACAAAACCCAACAGTGATTACGACTAGTCAAAGGCAGAGCATTTCTTAAGGGATGAGTATTGAGCAAGTAATGTCGCAAAAATCAGGGTTGTTTTATTCAGAACATGCTGTATCTAGGAATTTTAAAACATAACTTTAGCACAAATAATTGAATTTTCGTAGATACGAAAAGATTGAATTAGCAGAATTCGGATCTGATTTCAAACGGAATTTTACATTTAATCCTATGCATTATTGAGATACATTTTAAGGGCACATTCAAAAAAGAAGAAAAAAACTTCCTGTATGTGACTCTTGCGATCTTTTGCACAATTATTGATATACTTTAATCAGTCTACGGAGTATCTTCTGCCCCCTGAGTAATATGTGATACACGCAGGAAAAGGATGTAGCAAATTATGATCAATTAATAATTAAAATTCTCCTGTAATTAAATACCACAATTTCGTAACATATTGTGGAATTGATTGGCTGTAATTACATATATAGTAAGGATGAAAAAAACTGAACTTAGTTTAAGCCAAACGCAAGTATGCGATCGTTCCCGTGCCGTAAATAAATGAAATACTTGTCGAAGAAGGTGATATTTGCAAAATTCAAGACGACGTTCCAGTGCATTGGGAACAGACGTGTCGTTTCCATTTGAAACCGAGAGAGGCGCAGCATCGGTTCCGAAGTTGCCTGATAAATTGATGTAAGCGCCGAGGCGAGTTGAGCTTGAGCCGGAAGAGGTAAATTCGATTTCATGACCACAGCGCCTTGCTCCTAAAATAAGGACCGATTTGTGACGGTATCAGAAAGAGTTTTGGGTCACTTACTGTGTCATTTCGGAATGTGCAGCCCTCAAAGTTGGAAGGAAGGAAGTTCAATTCACTTTGGGCTACGTTTACTACTAATACAAATGAAAGCCAGAGAGCTCCACGATGCGCCATTCTTTCTCTAGTAGCAGTTCACTTTTGATTAACGATGCTTATCGAATTTTGTTACGTATGCATTCAGTCATTGTCACAGTTTTTCCTTGGGCACAGAGTCACCTCGTCTCGATCTGTACTCGCGCATTTAATGGCACGGAGAAAGGATCTATAATCGAGTAGTGAGTATTATCGAGCCTAAACTGAAAAGGCCATCTCGTTTGTTTTTGGAAACTGTATTTCGATAATATGGCAATGAGTTGTAGTACCGTGCGCCACTGTTTAGCAACAATTCATATCCGTTCTAGTGTAGAATTGAGCAAAAACGTCGTTTTGTTATGCATCGGTAATCCGCCTTTGTCTACCTTTCGGTACCTTTATTAGATGTATGGAATGTGAAGGCCCAATCTATGAACTGGACAATAGCGAATACTTTCGTTGCCATGGTTTCAAGGATAGCAAACTGATTTTCAAGAAATACAGAAAATTTCTTTGGTAAAGAGAGATTTCAAAAAAATTGGGATCAGGAGGTCATAATAAATTAGACAGTGACAGGTAAAAAATTATTTCTTCCTGCGTTACTCGGATCCTGATATAATATACGGTTCTTGGAAAATACTTGGTATCAGAAGAGAGTTTTCCGATTTACCTGTTTCTTTGTTTCTGCAGCCTTGATTAAATAAATTTTTGATAACGATCTCGTGTAAAACATTTTATTCAGCAAACTAATATTTACTTCCACACTTCCTGCGGGTATGTGAACTTGTTACAGTAATGTTTAAACAAGTACAAATTGTGCACAACCCTTTTGCAGGTAAAGCGCATTTTTTTAAACACCCCTACGAAATGTCTTCCATAAATAAGAAAGTTGGCACTGCGCATGCGCAAAACCAAATTTGGAAAATGACACTACATTTGCTTTTATTCCAAGTGACTCTGTATCAAATTTTAAATCCCTCCATAAATAAGAAACTTAGCACTGCGCTTGCGCAAAACCAAATTTTGAAACTGGTGTTAAACTTTCTTTTATTCCAAGTGGCTATATATCAAATTTAATTTAAATGCCTCTGTAAATAAGAAAGTTGGCACTGCGCATGCGCAAAACGAAATTTTGAAACTGGCGTTAAATTTGGTTTTATTCCAAGTGGCTATGTATAAAATTTTATTTAAATGCCCAATGGTTATATTTCTTCCAATCGTCCCAATTGCCCTTTATAGGTACTTTCCTTTGACAATTCACTCTTAAGATAAAAGGAATTATAACCGATCACGCCAAGGGATCGAGGAGGAAGACTATGGTTAGTATAAATTAATTCCTTTCGTTGAGACCTTTCATTAGAGTACCATGAAGGAATAAACTAGTTGCACTCCCCCCCCCTTTCCCCTCCACCCCGTACTTTGATAAGAGGGCAGAAAGAAGGGTAGTAGTTTGTAGAAAATTGTTCCTTTTGTTGGGACCTTTAATTAGAATACAATGAGAGATAAAATTAATCTTGACCCCCCCCCCCTCCCAGGCCGTCTCACTGGAAAAGAAAAGATCGGCCGGAAGTTTGTTTTAACAAAATTTATTTCGACCTTTTCCCCCCCCCCCCCCCCCAATTTTCTAAAGTTTAACTTGGCACCACTAAAAGCATGCGTATGCAAAATCTGAGACCAATTGGTTGTCGTATGTGAAAGTTCTGCACGTTTTATTTTCAAAATCAGCATCTCAGGAAATAATTCGGGGGGGGGGGGGGGGGGGCTCGTAAACAGCGAAATTTGATGGCCGTCTGGCATACCTTCAAGGTATAGGATACCTACTGCAAAAAATTCCAGGACTCTAGAACCATTCCCCTAGAAGTAGTTCAGAACGGTAGAAGTGGGATCGGACGGACGGACCGACAAAACGCAAACAATAGCACATTTTTTTTAATTCTTAAAAAATGCGCTAAAAAATAAAGTGTGGATAGATGCCAATCAACAAACTGTCTCCTTCTTACATCTTTGGAGCCTTTTGATCCTCGCAAAGGACTTTTTAAGGAAAATTTTGGATCAGGAGAACCTGTTAACGTACACCTACTTACGTTTCTGTAATCTGGATGCAATATTTTTTAAAGAAACTCTTAATAGAAGTAGAAGTTAATTGGTAGATTGACCCCCCCCCCCCCTTTTTGAGTTAATAGGAAAAGAATTAGTGAGAGAAAGGGGGCGGATTCTTTCATAAAACCAATCAGGAACAGGTTATTTTGTTTTACGAGAGAACTCCGCCCACTTTCTCTCACTTCACTAATTCATTTCCTATGAGCTCAAGAATAAGGGCCCCGGTAGAAAATTGAATATCTTAAGAATTTAATAATTAATAATAGTAAACTTCCATTTTTGTCTTGATCGTTGTAATATACAGGGTGTCCCTAAAAGGTCTGTACAACGCGCTACCAGGGGTTCTTGGTATCAAAATAGGACGATTTAACCCAACTTACCTCTATCCAAAAGTGCCTCGGTAACACTCGCATGTATGGTGCATGCCATTCATCATGCCTAAATTTTTTTTTTTTCGTAAACCATCACAGATAGCGATATTCATCAAGAGACAAAAAATGCTTGCAAGTAAACTGTCTATCAGTGTCTAAAAATTCAGAACCGTCAAAATAGTAGTTAAAAAGTTTTAGACCTCTTCAGATGTGGATGGTCAGTATTTTACCACCTACATAGCAACTACAGTCAAAACGATGATATCACAAAGACCCTTTTTACATTAGACATTCACATCCCGAATTTCATTTTAATCGGCAAAACCATTTTCCGATAAAATAAAAATAACGATTTTTTTTTTAAATCTTTGGCGGTAGATAGCGTCTTACCGAGGCACTTTTGGTTAGAGGTAAGTTGGGTTAAATCGTCCTATTTTGATACCAAGAACCCCTGGTAGCGCGTTGTACAGACCTTTTAGGGACACCCTGTATAAGCATTTCTGAGTGAAAATTTGATATTGGAAAAGTGATCCTGGTAAATTAACTTTCATTATGGAATGTAGAAATTTTGAAATACAGAAAGGGGCGGAATTTCAAATGTATGAAATTGGATAAATTTTGAAGTCCAAGTTTTTGAAACTTGAAGTTTCTACAATTTCTAAATTTTTGAAATTTTTCGGATAGTTCTTTGAGTAGACTGTTGAAGTTTTGAAGTTTGGAGTTTTCGATGGATTTCATGGGTTCCATGAAGGTAATTCGTTTATTTGTTCTCTGTTTATTTAACTTTAGAAGCATAATGTGCAATAGATACACTGTTGAATTTGTAATTTAAAAAATGCCACCGTATACAAAGTGAATTTGAATTTGAATGAAATTGATAATTTGTCGGAGATGAAACGTAGAATAAAAGTTAGGGTAGAGGTTAAAAAGCGACAATGACAAACAGCCATTAGTTTTTCAGTATCTTTTAAAATAAATACAAAAACTGGAAAAATCAATAATCGGAAAAATTGCATTTTTTTTTAAAATATCAAAAATTTTTTAGGTACCGGGAATACTCCGAGCCGATCTGATAACAGGTATCCAGTGTGCTCAAAGTCAAGTTGGTACAATTGCTAACTTTGGTATTATTGCAGCTACGAATTTGCTTAATTACGCAATTGAAAACATTTCTTCTCACGACTGCAATGGTACGAGTATGAAAAAAAATCTGGTTATCAAGATATTCAATAAACTAATATTTTTTAATGGAACACCCTGTATGTCTTTACATATTTAAAAAGAAAACGAACTTCTAAATAAAAAAATGTTTAACACCAGTAAAACTCACTTTAGGCAGATAAAATAGGAAATATGCAAGAAAGTTTAAAATCCTTAATTATTTTGGTAATAATAATAAAGGAGATAGATACATGCCGTGAAGAAAATTATCTTTTACAATAAATCAAATTTTTACACCTCACATTTCTTCTGAAGACTAAACTAAATTTCAAAACAAATCAATTGGAGCTATTATTATTATTTTTTAAAGTTTCCCGCATATTTCCGCTTATTTTTTCGCTTGTTTAAAGTATCGAACGCCTGTGTTTTATACGAACTTGGCAATATACTTAAAACGTTAATTATTCACTGTAGGCTCTTTTAATTTGTTGGCGTGGTGTGGTGTATCAAAGCTAGAACAACGCCAGGCCACCCTGTATATGCCTTTAAGTTTATCGTCATAAGTTGGTTGGAATTTGGGATTGGATACAAGATTCGACCATATTAGTTCAATTAGAGCTCAATTTTGTTTCGTATCAGAATTATTGAGCATTTTGTTTAAATAATCGCTTGTATTTTCTTTATTTAATTGTAAAAAAATTATGTTTGTCAAGATTAAGATTATTCTTTTGTAACATTGCTGCGTAGGCTAATTAGTTTCCAGATAAGCACGTCGATAAGAAAACAAGGGCATTTTGTAAAGTTTTGTGGAAGAAAGTCAAAGAGTGTATATATAGATTTATAGATTTAATTGTGACACCCTGTATAATATGGTTGTGTTACCATAATGAACTTTGCGTGTGAGTACGATCTCCGCCTAATCGAACCGCGATCGATAGCACCAAAACAGAGAGACTAAAAGGAACATGCCCACCATCCAAAGGTTCTTATTGAACCTTCTCCAATAGAAAAAGTTCCAAAGTAGTCAAAGGAATTCTTAAAAAGTTATTACGTAGTCCCAGTGTTCTCCTGTCACTTGATTAATTTTTGTAATACTGACACTTTTATCATAGATCTTAGTCATTTTTGAATTCTACTTCTTAACTATTTTTTTCTTTACAGAGTGTTGCGGATACGCGCTTCCCTTCCAAAGATCTTAGATGATTTATGGTACGTAGTCATTTTTGGGATATTTTATAGTGAATTTCGTGTAATTTTCTTACTAAAGATATTTTTTAATTGTACACATACGAATGAAAATTTCAAACAAACATTAGCAATAACACTTAAATGAGAATTTCATTATTGTGACCTTACAAATTTCAACAGCCACCTACCCACTACTCAAAAAAGCTATGAAAGCTTCAAAATTACTCAAATGT